CTATGACAAGGACCCTTGGAGAAGGGAATGGCTACCCACTCCAGTATTTTTGCCTGGTGAATTCCATGGACAGAGAAGCCTGGCAGGCTACAGTCTATGGGGTCGCAAAGAGTCGGACATGACTGACACTTTTTTCACGTTATGTATGTTAATCCTGTACTCCTAATTTATCCCTCCTCCCACCTTTCCATTTTGCTAACCATAAATTTACAGAAATAGTCTATGAATCTTGTAGTCTAATAGTCTATGAGTCTTGTAGACAAGTTCGTCTTTTTCTTTGAGATTCCATATGTGATACATACAAAGTGTACATTTCTGACTTACTTAGTAAGATAATCTAGGTCCATCCGTGTTGCTGCAGATGGCATTATTTCATTCTTTCTATGGCTGAGAAAGAGTCCATTGTTTATTTGTACCAATCTTCTCTATTCATTCATCTGTTGATGCTCGTTTAGGTTGCTTCCATGTCTTAGCTACTGTAACAGTGCTACCATAAACATTAGGGTGTGTGTATCGGCTTGAATTATGGCTTCCTCTAGCAGTTTGCCCAGGAGTAGGATTGCAAGATCATGTGGTTGTTCTAATTTTAGTATTTTGAGGAAATTCCATCCTGTTCCCCATGGTTGTTGCACCAATTTATATGCCCACCAGCACTGTGGGAGGGTTCCCTTTTCTGCACTCCCTCGCCAGCATTTATTATTTGTAGGCTTTTTGATGATGGCCATTTTCACTGGTGTGAAGTGCTACCTCATTGTAGCTTTGTCAGATCATATGTTTTTATGGAGATTCAGTGATTCAGGGATTTTGATGTGTGATAATTGTATCTAACATGTAGCAAGGGCTAAATGAATATTTTTTATAAACTGTGTATTTTTAAAATATTTATTTAGCTATTTTTGGCTGCACTGGGTCTTCGTTGCTGCACACAGGCTTCTCATTGCAGTGGCTTCTTTTGTTGTGAAACATGGGCTCTAGGGCACATAGGCTTCGGCAGTTACGGTGTGTGGGCTCAGTAGTTGCGGCACATGGGCTCAGCTGCTCCAAGGCATGTGGAATCCTCCCAGGCCAGGGATCGAACCGATGTCCCCTGCACTGGAGGTGGACAGACTTCTAACCATTGGACCACCAGGGAAGCCCTAATGAATATTAATACTAACCTAATAAATGATATTTATTATTGAAGATCAGTAGTTTAAACCAGTGCTTCTCAAACTCTAACAGGCATTTAAATCGCCTATGAGTTTGTTAAAATGCATATTGTAATTCAGCAGGTGGGTTGTGGGGCCTCAGGTTCTGCATTTCTAATCACCTCCCACACCACGAGGACAGTGGATCACACTTTGATTAGCAAGGAATTAGATCGCCTAACTGGAGAAGACAATGGCAACCCACTCCAGTACTCTTGCCTAGAAAATCCCATGGACAGAAGAGCCTGGTGGGCTGCAGTCCATGGGGTCTCTAGGAGTCGGACACAACCTGAGCAACTTCACTTTTGCTTTTCACTTTCATGCATTGGAGAAGGAAATGGCAACCCAGTTGGCACTCCAGTATTCTTGCCTGGAGAATCCCAGGGACAGCAGAGCCTGGTGGGCTGCTGTCTGTGGGGTCGCACAGGTCGGACACGATTGAAGCGACTTGGCGGCAGCAGCAGATCACTTAACATCCCTTTCTAACAGTGTGGTGTGATGTTCACAGCACTAAGTCTGGAGTTGAGGCATGGGGTTTGCCACCTACTGCCTATGCGATCTTGGTGTGTGTGATCACTAACTATGTGATCACACCATTTTCCTTCTGACCCCTCATCTGTTAATAAGCAGGCTGGATAGAATGACCTTCTGGGTTCTCTGCAGCTCAGAACGGTGTGTTGGCACAAGAACGACTAAAGTGCTGTGTTCTGGGCTGTGCAGAGGGCGAGCACACGTCCCACACTGCCTGTCGGTGAGGATGGGCCTGAAACCCAGGCTCCAGGACCTCAGGGAAACTGGACACCTTTCTTCCATGAAAGGGCTGCCCACATGGAAAGAATCAGATGGTCAGAGATCTCCAGCAGCCCTCTTCTCATCTCCCTAGGAGACCAGATTCGTCGATGGAAGAGCCATTCTGCAGTGGGACATCTTTGCCTCCAATGGGATTATTCATGTCATTTCCAAGCCTTTAAAAGCTCCCTCTACCCCAGGGGTGAGTATCCAGCATTCCTGGTAAGAAGGAGCCTCAGTGTCCACTCCCCAAGAAGCAAGCTCCTCCTGGATGCCCTGGCCACCCCATCCATGGCAGCTGGCCTCAGGGATGCCCAGCCCCCAGCCAGTGTGTTAGTGACATAACACCTGTCACCACCAACATTTGCTAAATGAAAAGGGCAGGATGTGCCCGTGGAGAAACCACTGAAGGGAAGTGAAAATCCTGAGCCCCTCCACTTCATAACCATGTGAACTCAGACAAGCCCCAGAAACATCATCGAACCCCATTTTTCTTATCTGCAAAATGGAGGTCACAATGCCTTCCTTCCTGGGTTCTTGGGAAGACAATGAGTTAATGTAAAATAATAGACAGTTCCTGGCACATGCTTTATAAGAGTTGGTCAGCTGGCTATGGTCAGTGGGCGGTGATGTTAGTTTTCTAACTTTGTTCTAAAGGTATGAAGCTCCAAAGCCACGCTGGTTTCAAAGCCCACCTCTGCCACTCATGGGCTATGTGACACTGGGCAAGTGATTACCCTCTCTGTGTCTCTGTTCTCCCATATAAAAAGGGGAACAGTAGAAACTGTTCTTAGCTCTTTGTGTTATTATACATTTAAATGGATTATTTTATGCAAGGGGGCTTAGAACAGACCCTGGAAGTAGTGTGGGCTAGACACACATGGACAGCTTTCTCATTATTTTTATCCCAGCCAGCACAAGATGCCTCAGGCAAGCCAGAATGGGGTGGGCTCCGGGAAGCACACCTCTTTGGGGAAGTCACCGGTTCTGATGCCAGCCACTGGCCTTTCTGTGTTTAGACTTCAGGCCACCCCGGCCTGGGAACAGGGGTGTTCTTTGCCATCGTCCTGGTCAGCGGAGCCATTGCCTTGGCGGGGTACTCCTACTTTCGACTAAACCGGAGAACGATTGGCTTCCAGCATTTTGAGGTGAGACAGAGAAAAACAGGACCACGAGGATGGGGGTCCACTCTGAAACCCAGCCCCTGGCTCTGGGCTACTCCAGACTGGCTGCTTCAGGGGGCTCGCTGAGTGCTTGGCACGCATTTCCTGTCTCCTGGATGGGGCCTCTGCCCCGAAGAGGTCAGCAGTGGCAGCCCCAGGGCCCTCTACCTGACCGAGTCAGGGGATGGAGGAGGGCGAAGAGCAGCCAGTAGCCCTTCATGCCAGAGGTTTGGCTTGGAGCCAAATTCATTAGGCGCCTAGGAGGCCACTCACCTTGGAGGAATCAGAAGACAAACTCCAGTGCTGACTCTGAGGGCGGGGACACGCTGGGGGCCAGCACAGCCAGAGGCCTCAGGGCACAGCCAGTAAACACACTGGCCCTATTTGAACGGCTGAGCCCACATCCAGGTCAGCGGGTCTTAGCTCACCATGGGAGACCCTGCAGGCCGGATATGGCTGCAGCCTGCAAGCAGTAGGTCACTTCCTTCTGGCAGATAACCTGCATAAGCATTACATACATCGCAGTTAGCAAAAGTGCCATGCTGCATGATTCCTTTTATATTAAGTTCAAGGACAGGCAAAACCATTCCAGGTGATGGGAGTCAGAAAAGCAGTTACTGTGAGTGGGACCAGACACTGGCAGGCAGGGGGGCGTGAGGGCACCTCCTGGGGGATGGAGACGCCCTGCATGCTGATTTGGGTGGTGGTCACACGTGGTGAATATATAGAAGTCATTGAGCTGAACACTTAAGATTGGCGCATGATATTACATCTAAGTCAGATCTCAATAAAAGGACAACAGAAAAGCTCCCGGAGGTGGAGGGGGTGGGACGTGCCTTAGCCTCCGACTCGGCTGCAACGCCCCGCCTTGGGGATCTGTGGCGCTCAGCCCCATGCTTCTCTGTCCGAGCAGTCAGAAGAGGACGTTGGCGTCGCAGCTCTTGGCAAGCAGCAGCCCGAGAGTGTCTCGAACCCCCTGTACGAGAGCGCAACTCCAGCAGCCCTGGGACCTTCCTACGTCCCCTTCATGGTGAGTTTGTCTTTTCATCTAAAACAGGCTCAGCTGGGGAGGAGGCAGGACAGTGATGTCTTTCAGCAGACCTGTGGAGAGCACTGCGCCAAGAAATCTCACTTTTAGCACATATCTCCAGGCTACAAGCCTAGAAGCAAGCTGGGTGAAGCCATGTGGTCGCTCTGTGTTCTGAGCTCTCCTGGGTGGATGGCAGAGGTATGCATCGGTTAGATCTAGAAAACAACTCGGGGGTACACAACCCCAACCTTGTGACCAGGAGAAGAAATCTTGGGCTGAATTCTGCCACAACCATTGACGAGGCAGCAGGCACAAAGGAAGACCTAAAACTGCTTCAACATTTACACATTGTCTGGGGTTCTTCTGCCTATTGTCAGAGCTGCTTCTTGCTCTAGGAGCTCCGTCTCTTTGATGAGGTCTTTTAGATCTAGGGGCGTGGGTTCTGCTCTGGTCTTCCAAGAAAGGCCCCCTTGTTTCTAGAATTAGTGACCCTTGAGCATGGATGGAGCCGCCACTGACCTCAGCGCTGTGGCAGGGAACCCCATTCACATTAAACATGCGAGACACACTCTGCCTATATTACCAGATCTGGACTGAGAAGCTAAGAGTGAGATAAGAGAAAACATATTGGTCTTTGCCCCAGAGCTCATAAACTCCTGTGATTTCCTAAGTGGTAAGAATACTAGGGCCATCTTTTGTTCTGAGGAGATTCTGGGTTGGCTTCTGGATGGGGGTTGGTCACCAGAAAGACCAAACCATGATTCGAAGGTTGGGATTTTTCAGCTCCACCCTTCACCCTCCAGAGAGAGAGAGGGGGGCTAGAAATATAGCTGATAGTCGATATGAGGAAGTCTCCATAAAAATCCCCCCCCCTTTTTTTAAATGTGTTGTGTAGCTATTACAGATTTTCAGTTTGTAGTTACTGTGAGGTTTTGTTATGGCAGTCCATATATAGACAAGATTATCTTAAGTTGCTGGTCTTTTAATTTCAAATACATTTCCAGTATCCTGCATCTGTGCTCTCCTCTTCTCATGCCTGCTGGTTTTGATATCACTGTTGTGTGATATCCATCGTTTACCGGATGTTTGCCTTTACCAATCAGCTTTTCTAGTCATAATTTTGTTTCTAGTTGTGGCCTTGTCCACTTAGAGTAGTTCCTTTAGCATTTGTTAAAAAGGTGCTCTGGTGGTGGTGAATTCTTAGCTTTTGCTTGTCTGCAGAGCTTTTGATTTCTCTGTTAAATCTGAATGAAAGCCTTACTTGTAATTTTGGTGTTTTCGTAAGAGGTGAGCTCACATCCTTCTATTCCACCATCATCCATAAAATCCCAGTAGTAGGGGGTTCAGAGAGCTTCCAGGGTGGTGAATATATCACACTGGGAGGGTGATGCACCCAAACTCCACGGGTCAGTGGTTATACTGAATTTTTATAAGTTGGCACTGAAACACTACAATATTTTATTCTACCATTTTAAGCTTGTAGTATGCAATATTTGTTATTTTTCTAGTGAATGAAATGCAACTATCCCATGGTTCTCAGTGCCTGTGGCAGTAGATTTAATATATTTGCAATGCTGAAAAATAATCAGATCATAAATACTATTGTTTTTTAATCAAACTCATGTAAAAGTTTCTAGTCCAAATTGCAAGGCCAAGTTCAGCTAAGCCGCATTTATTAACAGCCGATTTCTGTAAGCCTGGCGATACGGAAATCAACCTCATTTTAAAAGCAAGGGGGGAAATTACACATTCTGTTCAGTGCTTTCCATGGTCTCTCAGCTGTCTGGCCTCTCCTCGGGGCTCCAGGAGTACCGTCCATGGGATACTCACCTGAGGCAGGTGAGAGTATCCTAAGAGGCAGGACTCAGTTCAACCTTCCTAATCAGACCAGGTGGCAAAAATGTTCCAGTTACAGGAATCCTAAGCCGAGGGTACCAGCCCCAAATATGCTTTGTTCTCACGCCTTTTATATTGAAGGGGCAGATGTTGCCTCTAGACGACCTGCAGCCAGTCCACACACTGTGAGCATCCACTGTGTGAATGGACAAAGCTGCGGTCTGACCGAGCCACGGGCAGCAGGGGGTTCAGGAGGCCGCCTCCGGACTGTTGCTTCAGATCAGACCCAGTTCAGGGTGAACTGCCCACCGGGAAGGATTCTGTTTCTAACCAGAGTAACAGCCCATGTTTTGTGGGGTGGCTTTATTTTCCTAAGAGTAGTATCTAACTTAATTCACACACCTCCCTGTCAGGTAAATATTATTAGGCCCCTTAATAGATGAGAAGAATACTGCAGAGGTGAAATGACTTGTCCAGGGCCACATACCTTCAAGCAGCCGCGACTGTACCCATGTTCAGGCCACGAGCCACAGGTCAGCAGCGTGAAGCCACCCTCGCTCCCACCAGATGTGTTCACAAGAGACCGCAGGAAAAAGAGTGTTTGTAGGCTGAAAGGGAGGAAAACGTTTTCCTTGACCCTCTGATGATTCGTGGCTGGGCCTGAAAAGTAAACTGGTAAAGACAGACTCACAGAAGAGCACATATATTTCAGTGAACGTTTATGTGTACGTGGGAGCCTTCATGAGAAAGTGAAGACCCAAAGAAGGGACCGGGACGGGAAGCCTTTGTGCCTTTTAGACTAAATGTGTGAGGAACTGACGAGAGAGCGCTGGAGCCAGAGGCAGTAAGGGGTGAAGCAGTCACGAGGAAGATGCGGGTTAGAGAGCAAGGTCTGTGTGTACAGGTTTCTTGGCCCCCAGCTCCCCAAAAGTGATCTATCTTCTTTCCTCTAAAGAAAATTTCATGAGTTTTATTACCTGTTTCAGGGGAAAAGGGTAGGGGGCAGAGTTAGTCAGAGTGAGCTTCCTGCTTCTGTCATTTAAAAAAATTCCTTTCAGTTTGACCTTTACCAAGCCAGGTTACTGTACTGGGGGTAGCAGGTCCTGAGGGCCTTCCCCAGGCCTTCAGTGGTGAAGAATTCACCAGCCAATACAGGAGACACAGGTTCGATCCCTGAGTCGGGAGGATCCCCTGGGGAAGGAAATGGCAACCCGCTCCAGGATGCTTGCTTGGAAAATTGCATGGACAGAGGAGCCTGGTGGGCTACAGTCCATGGGGTCACAAAAGAGCTGGACATGACTTAGGAACTAAACAAGAAGAAGTGTGTCCTAAACCCACCGAGGCCTCAGGCCAGTAGCCAACAGAATGCTCAGCCTGGAAGGATGCACGCTCTGCCTGCTTCACAGACTTCTCTTTTCCAGGACCCTGGCGACCAGCAGCTGGACAGCAGTGACCCCCTGGGGGCGCTATGAGGGCTGGACCTGCCCCATGCAGACATCGCCGCTGCCACCCGGGTCCCTGGGGCCACCTCAGGAAGGCCATCGACTGTGAATCCTCGGCCGCAGCTGACTGTGGGAAATGTAAGGTCCTTTAACATTTCAGTCCGGAGCACTCAGGCCGTACCTCATCTCTTCAGTTGATCCAGGGGATATTCTGTCTCTGTGGGTGAGAGACTACGTTCAGCCCACCCACCACCCAGGGGACTGGCTCCCTCCCTGACCCTCTGCTATCTTCCCCAACCTCCAGTAGCACCTTCTACCTTTTGCCCAGCACTCTAGTGACCGTATCTTATTTCCCTGTTAGACTGTAAGCTTCCGAAGGCAGAGACCTTCCTCATTCGTCTGTATCTTGGCACCCAGCACAGTGTGTGGCATGTGAAATGTGCTCAATTACTGGTTACAGAACAGAAATAAAGTCAATGGAACAAATCCAGTGTCTGGGGAAACAAATCAACCAGTTCCCATAGGAAGGGTCAAACTCTGAAAGTAAAATCAACTCATTAGGGCTCATTAGGGCTGTTAGTTAGCAAACATCTGCATTATGAATGCTTCTTTCTTAATTCTGTTTGGTTTGCTTGTTTGTGTGAAGAAGATATAATAACCACAAGTAGATACCACTTCACACCCATGAAGATGGCCATGGCCTCACAGACAAGAATAGGTATCCACGAGGGTGTAGAGAAACCAGATCCCTTCTATTTTGTTGGTGGGAATGTAAAATTGTGCCTTTACTGTGGAAAACAGTCCAGCAGTTCCTCAAAAAGTTAGACAGAATTACCATGTGATTCAGAAATTCCACTCCTAGGTACAGACCCAAGAAAAATGAACACATGTCCTTACGACAACTTATAGAGGTAGCATTATTAGTATTATTCGTAACAGCCAAAACATGGAAACAAACCAAATGTCTACTGACTGACGAATGAATAACCAAACCGTGTCTTGCCACACAATGAAATAGCATTCTACCCTAAAACAGAACTAAGTACTGATACATGCAACACCACGGATGAACCTTGAAAACATGATACTCAGTGAAAGAAGTCAGACACAAAAGATCACATACCATATGATTCCATTTATATTAAATGTCCAGAATCGGGCCAGTTCTTCTCCATGCAGGACTCTGTGCAAGGCTGGATGACCCTCAAAATGCCCAAAGTAGCCTCTCCATCAATGTGACAACCAAGTCCCTCCAGCCCACCCACCACCCTTCTGCAAGCTACCCCATGGATAGCACTGGCCAGGCTTGAGAGCCCTCTCTGGGAAATGGAGATGGGAAAGGCTGGGATGAGCAGATCTCAGACCCTCCTCCATCGCCCTCACAGCCCAAACAACTTTGTTCCAAATCGTCAGGGTTTTTCCTGAGCCATGTCCAAAGTTCAGAAGCCCCCAGAGTCTCAGAAGCTTCCTCACAACTCCAGGAAGGGAAGAAATGCCCATTTCACGCAGAGGAATGATTTACCACCTCCTCCTGGGCAATGTGCCGTGATGGGGCAATGCTGGCTCTCCAGGAACTCGCTCCCCGAGGGGACCGTGGGATGGATTCACTAGTGAGTCCTCCAACTCCACCATCAAGGGGACAGAAAGGTACATGATTAAAAGGAAAAACAGCAGGCACCCGTGAAAGGAGTGAATGAGATGAAGGTCCTGGCACAATGAGAGGTCAAGGATATTAAGTTTAAACACATTCGAACAGTTTAAAAAGGCTCTTCAAAATATATCCAAAACCCAACAGTAAACTGACTTCACAGCATGTACTCCTAATTCAATATTAGTCAGTATTTCTTCTCTTAAAACACTGCTTCCAATTTTACATTCTCCTAGTACTTTGCAGACAAACAGGTGGATCACTGTCTTCTTGTTCTCAAGGAGGGAACTGTCTGTGAGAGACAGAAATTCTAGGTGGGTCACCTGCTGCCCACCTAAGGCCAGATTCACACTCATTTTCCTTCTGTGGCTTAACTACATGGTCTTCAGGCTCTGAGAACAGGCAAGTGTGCTTTGCTGAGGGTGGGGAGACCAGGGTGGTGAGGAATGAACCATCAACCTTTTGCCCCCTTTCTCGGGGATATTCTTTTTTGGGTACATTAGAATGTGATATGACTTTTGCCACTAACTGAAGCACACAAAAGCAGATGACTGAGGGTAAACCGGACAATACAATTCAAACTTTTATTTGGCAGTAAGTTCGATGTCATGTAACATAAAATCAATATTTAGAATAAATAGCAAATTCACATTCAGGATAAATAGCAAGTCTACCTAATTTGCATTTACCCGTGCCTGAAATTAAACAGGCACCATCTGTCCTTCTACTAAATAATTAGAAAACAGTGTCCTAAGTCAGAGGTCAAGGCTGCAGTGTAGAAAAGTACAGAGCAGTGTTGTGGGTCGGTTCCAGGGAGCAGGCATGAGGTGGGGAGTCTCATGCAGGAAGTTTACAGGGAACTGTGCTTGGGATGCACCTGGGCAAGGGCGGGGGGCAGGAAAGAGCCGATGGGCCTTCAGAGTTGCTCCAGGGAGGGAGTCTGACCACACCCTCATCCGAGGCAGGACTCTTCATCGGGGGAAGCTCCCGAAGAGGACCCACAGCTGCAGACTGAGCCAGCAGCTACAGTGACCCAGCAGCAACCAACCCCCACAGCAGCAGGGGGATAAAGTCCTTCGGGGTCTTCAGGGTAGCCAGGCCCATCACACGCTACCAGCACGACCACAGATGAGCGCAATGAGAGGTATATTCAACGAGTGCCGAGCCTGGCCACTCGGTCACACAACTGACAGTCAAGCCATGTGCTCGAAACACAGTATTTTACCACTGGCCACATGAGTGAATATGCCCAGAGAGAAGCTCGTAGGGGAAGATGTGAGCTGACCTACCAAACTTCTTTCCACTGGCTGCACACGACTGTGTATCTGTGGTTGCTTACCACCTTGCACACTTTCAGCAAAGTCATCATCTCATCATGGCCACCCACACAATCTGTTGATGCAGGGGTCAGCAAACCACAGCCCAAGGGCCAAATCCAGCCTGCAGCCTGTTTTCAGAGGCCAGGCTGCCCTGGACCACAGGCAGGCCCAGTCCCACAGGAGGGGCTGCAGGAAACAGCCAGCAAAGCTGGAAGTCTTTACTGTCTGGTCCTTGACAGGGAAAGTGTGCTGAGCCTTGCATTAGGGAAACTTCACTCCCTTTTTCTTCCTCAATCCACCAGGGTATTAAAGGTAAGCTAAGCTAAACTAAGATAAGCTAAACTAAACTAAGCTAAGCTAAACTAAACTTGGGGGCTTCCCTGGTGGCTCAGATGGTAAAGCATCTGCCTGCAATGCGGGAGGACCCCGGTTCGATCCCTGGGTCGGGAAGATCCCCTGGAGAAGGAAATGGCAACCCACTGCAGTATTCTTGCCTGGAAAATTCCATGGAGAGAGGAGCCTGGTGGGCTACAGTCCATGGGGATCACAAAGAGACACTCCAGTACTCTTGCCTGGAAAATTCCATGGACAGAGGAGCCTGGTGGGCTACAGTCCATGGGGTCATAGAGTCGGACACGACTGAGCGACTTCACTTTTCACTTAAGCTAGACTTGGAGCCTCGCTCCCAGATGCTAACAGGAAAAGAAAGGAAACTGGTACAAAAGGAAACCAGTGCTAAGCCAGCACATCACAGGCTCCCTGGTAGTTGAATAGAGCAATCAAGGAACCCTCCCTGGCTCTGGCCAGACTGAGTCTGAGAGCACACTGCAGACCAGGGCCCCCAAGTGGGTTTCTGGCAACAGATGAGCATTTGGCAGAGTGGATCCAATTTCAGCGTTTAGTGCACTCTCTGCTGCTTTAGAGGCCTCTGGGGAGGAAAATGGGTGGGGGAAGCTATTTAGTTCACCCAAAGCTAAATTAGCTAGCAGGAAAAAGGACTTTGTATTTCTCTTTGGCACTAATTAAGAGGACCAATGCATTCAAAGCAACTAGGAATTTAGTCATAGATGGGCCTTAATCAGTAACAGGTGGTTTGTGTTAGCTGGCATTAGTGGAGCTGAAGGGAATTTTTAAGAGAAAAAAAAAATTTTTTAAGGCTATGTTAGGAGGAAAGTGGGAGCTTTAAGCCAAACTCCTAAAATATATTAAAAGCCAGGTTTCATCTACTTAAAAAAATGATTCTGGAAAAACCAGTTGTGCAGGTCCCTTCCAGGGCAACCAGCTATAGCTATGGTGAGCCTTAGGGACACAGACAGCTCCTGGACTATGAATTTTTGTTCATATCCTTCGGAGAAAATCAGTCTAACTGATGCTAAAAAGGGAAAATATTTTTCAATGTGCAAGCTAATTTTCAAGTGAGCTAATTCTGATCACTTTCTAAACTGATCTTTTAAGTGGTAGAAAATAGACTCCCTTCCCTTGTACCCAAATGCATTCATCAGCGGGCTTGCTAGAGGATAAGCCAGGAGGAACAGAAAGCTGTAGAGGGTGCTGAATCCCAGCTGAGTCACGACAGTGACAAGTTAAAACGACCAAGCACAGACAAAGCGAAGCCCTCCGTCCTTCACATGGAGACGGCCGCCCTGACCCTGACCGTGCGCCAGCCCGACAGACCTCAACACCGCCGTGTGCCACGGCCACCACTGTTCAGAAGTGCAGTCATGTCTGACTCTTTGCGACCCCATGGACTGCAGCACACCAGGCTTCCCTGTTCTTCACTATCTTCTGGAGCTTGCTCAACCTTAATTGGTGATAAGTCATTAAAATTCCTTATTCACACACCTAGAAAATGTATTTCTCGCCCCAGGCTTAGGACTCCTAACCCAGACATACATGAAAGCAGTAAAAACAGCTGTACTGGGATGTTTTTGAGTAACAACTTTCTTGAGTAAACAAAACACCCTATCACTGGCATGGAGGAGATATCCAATGAATACCTGATTAGAAAAAGTTTTAAAATACCTACTTCCTCACCAGCTTCTCCAAAGCAGAAACTATCAGCCCAGAGCACCAGCATATCCTCTGATGACCCCAACACTGAGCAGTTGTGGGCGCCACCTGCACCCCTGAAATGCCAGTCTCCAATGCACTCTGATGCTTAAAACCCCCAGGCAGTAACAAACAGCCAGCAAAGTGCCTACTGCAGCCTGAAAAAGGGATGGACACCTGTGTTTGTAACAATGGGAAAAAAGGCCAACTGGGCCTATTAGGTCTAGAGAGTCACCTTCACTATTTTAGTTAAATACAAGACAAGATCACAGGTACACCTGGTGGCCCAGTCTGTAAAGAATCCACCTGCCAATGCAGGAGATGTGCGTTTGACTGCCAGCTCAGGAATATCCCCTGGAGAAGGAAATCACAACCCACTCCAGTATTCTTGGTTGGGAAATCCCATGGACAGAGGAGCCTGGCGGGCTACAGTTCATGGGGTCGCCAAGAGTCAACTAAACAACAACAGTCCCATTAAAACACGCAACGTTATACAACATGCTATAGAAGTCACCTAATTTCTGCACGCGTGCAGGCAGCCTGTGGCAGGCCAAGCTCACATCTCCCCAACAGCTGGCTCCACACAAACCCATTAAAAACGCCAAATAAGCGAGCAGTCTCTCCTCAAGCCCCTTTCCTCCGCCACCTGCATCCTTCAGGCTTAAGGATAGGTGTCACTTGCCCTGTCCTCAGAAAGAAATGGGAACACTCACTCAGTGAGGCTATTTCCAACTGTTTCTCTCAGCCTCAATGTCCTTGATCCTCTCCCACCTTAAACGCAGACACTAAAGAAATCCCCAAAGCAGACACGTAAGCGTGGCAGGAAAGCAGTCTAAAGGCAGCAGGCGGGAGACGGCTGAGCAGAGAGGGCCACCTCCCTCGCTCCGGCTGGATTCACGCCCCTCTCCTCAGCTGATGAATCAGGAGAGAAGGCATCTGCTCACTGCCCTCCAACGAGGATGGTTTCTGGTAACACACAGTTTAACAAGATTGCAAAACACCTGGGGGGTCGGGGGGGTCACCGTACAGCACTAAATTATGAGGACATTTTTTTCGTTTCACTTTCCATCCTCCGATGAGCAGGTTCAAGCAACACACGTGTGGTGGTGGCATCAGGGGTTACAAAGCCCGGGGATACCCACCACAAACGCACTGGTTCCTCCCGTGCGTTCGCATGTAGCAGCCTCATTCTACAGTCTGTTCTGCTGGCAGGACATTAAACCAGAAGCTTTTCTCTCCTTGTCCTCCTTTTCGGAGGGGAAAGAGTGAACCCGCCCACCACCTGGGGCACCACGGTCCTTCCTCCGAGTGGGGCAAGACACAGGAAATGGATACTGAGGACAATCAAGGCCAAGGATTGGCAGCTTCTCCTGTTCTTTCTCAAAAAAGACCTCCAGGGAGGCTGAGTCTGCTGTCAAGTGAGGCACCAGTGCGCCAGAGCCCTAGTTCCAGATGCCTGGGAACCAGCGGCCGACTGGGGTCCATCCCTGCCGCCGACACCGTGGTCGCTATCCAAGCGCCCACTGAAGCATCAGCAGCTCATCGGTGGACCCACTTCACTGGTCCAGCACTGTCTGTGCGTGTTCAGCATTTTCCAAGCACTTTCCACAGAAAAGTTAAGAAGAGTTTCAAAACGTCACCTGCTGGAATACAGAGCAGGCATCAAGAAGACTCCCCATCCCAGGAAGTCTGATGCTGGATACAGTACCTTGGGAAACAAGAAGGCTGATCACAGGGTGTCGACAGGAGGCCAGCCGCTGTCCCCTCCCCACGTGCACAGGAGGGCGGGCTCTGCGAGCTGTGAGCTCCCTTCTCCACGAGCTAGGGGGTATCCTCCGTAATGTACAAAACAGGTGTCACTAAGACTATCTGTATCATTTCCGAAAGCGATGCTCACATCCCCGCAGAGTCTGCCCAGCGTGGGGCCATCACCGGTCCTGGCTTTTGGTGCCCAGGGGTGGTGGGGCCGCCAGTTACTTGGCCTGGGCCTCCTGCAGCAGCGGCAGCCGGGCGGCCGGGGGCTGGTCGGACCAGGCGGGCAGCTCATGCTGCAGGGGGGTCCGCCGGGGGTAGAAGGTGTGGCTGACGTCGTAGTTCAGCAGGCAGCTCAGGGACGCCATGTAGATGTCAGCAAACCGCGACAGGCGCCGCAGGAAGTACGTGGGGTTCTGGTCTGTGCGGAACAAGCTCCCAAACTGGGCATTGAAGAAACCTTTGGTCATTTCCCTGGAGAGGGGAGAGAAGAGCAAAGCAACAGTGTGACTCCCCCAAGCTCTGCTTTTAGTTACTGACATCAGATGACACCAAAATCACTGTTTCACAGCGAAGAGACGCATGTAGGACCTCCCCGGTGGTCCAGTGGTTAAGGATCCGCCTGCCGATGCAAGGTACATGGGTGCGATCCCTGGTCTGAGAAGATTCCACATGCCACTGGGCAATTAAGCCATGTGCCACAACTACTGAGGCCACACAATGCAACTCCTGAAGCCAGAGCACCCTAGAGCCTATGCTCTGCAACAAGAGAAGCCACTGTAATGAGAAGCCCGCACCTAGCAACAAAAACCCAGTGCAGCCAAAAAAAAAATTTTTTTAAAGATACATTAAAAAGGAAGTTATACATACATATCTATATAACTAAATCACTTTGCTGTACATCTGAAACTAACACACTGTTAATCAATTATGCTCCAATATAAAATTAAAAGTTAAAAAAGCTACAAAATCCATAAAAATTTTGAATCACTATGGTGTATACCTGAAACTAATATAATATTGTACATCAACTATACCTCAATAAAAAAAAAATTTTAATCACTGTTTCATACACTTCAGTTCAGTCGCTCAGTCATGTCTGATTCTTGCGACCCCATGGACTGCAGCACGCCAGGCCTCCCTGTCCATCACCAACTCCCAGCGTCTACTCAAACTCACATCTATTGAGTCGGTGATGCCATCCAACCATCTCATCCTCGGTCATCCCCTTCTCCTCCCACCTTCAGTCTTTCCCAGCATCAGGGTCTTTTCAAACGAATCAGTTCTTCACATCAGGTGGCCAAAGTATTGGAGTTTCAGCTTCAATATCAGTCCTTCCAATGAACATTCAGGACTGATTTCCTTTAGGATGGACTGGTTGAATTTCCTTGCAGTCCAAGGGACTCTCAAGAGTCTTCTCCAAAACCACAGTTCAAAAGCATCAATTCTTTAGCACTCAGCTTTCATTATAGTACAACTCTCACATCCATACATGACTACTGGAAAACTATAGCTTTGACTAGACATGACTTTGTTGGTAAAGTAATGTCTCTGCTTTTAAATATGCTGTCTTGGTTGGTCATAGCTTTTCTTCCAAGGAGCAAGTGTCTTTTAATTTCATGGCTGCAGTCACCATCTGCAGTGATTTT